TCATTGGTTGCATCATCGGTTGTGTTGGTGGGCATTACAAGAAATCACAGGAATAAGAACTGTAACGAGTAAACTATGAGACCGATGATAGTAGGAGTAGTCAAAAATAATTATAATCTAGGGATATTGGGTACATGGATGATGCTCATTTGAACATGTTCGCAACATGAGTTGAACGGACTTTTAACTACACTTCTCTTCTGCCCAGATTTTTGTCATGACTTCCAGCTTAGGCAAGATACAATTTCCTTTCAACAATCACCGACATGATTTGGTCCAACTACCAAGTTATCTCCAAGTTTTACCTAAATCAAAGACCCTCCCACCCCTTCACAGATCGAAAAACATATTTAGTGTATGTATCATGTGAACAAACTTTTATTTAAAGGGGTGCTTACAGATGTTCCCAATCCAACTGTGCTGATGGTCTCCTTTGAGATGCCAAAAGTACCACATTGGTGCCTCAAAATTGCACAGTGTCCTATGACTGCTTCGGTGTCAAGCACCACCTCCACCTCATGATCAGACTGAACCAGCCGGCAATTAAGATCAGGATAATCTCGGTATGGATCTTCGTTCCTTTGTACTTCTTTGAATGGATTCACAATTATCCAAGTCTTTCCGGGTGTTTGGTTGGATGTGAAAATCGTTTGGATTTCACCAAACCTTTGGTCCTTTCCCAGAAAAAACTCCACCAAACTATTCCCCTTGTGTCCCCTGCAGGAGGTAAATCGTTTCTGGTTGATCTCGAAAGCCTTCTGAGCAATGACCTTTGGGCTGAGAGAAAGTTCATTGCTGCCAAGCTTCCCCCTTGTAGCTGCTTTGCCAAGAACAGCACGTTTCCACTTGGTCAAGTGTGACCCTTCAAGTTCAAACTGCTCCGTGTTTTTTGACTTGGACATTGAATCTTGTATTGTGGGATCTTTCATTTGGCTATTCAATAGCAGTTTGAAGCTTGAATTGACATGCCATTCTTTCAAAATTGTCTTGGGCATCTCGTCTGCAGAAGATAGGTGTATTTATTTGTTTAGCATGGTGACACGCTTCTCAAGAAGATATAATGACAGTAACATACCAGGATGATGATTGGTGGGGAGCTTCTGCAGAATTCCATTCACCCGCTCTTGGGCCCATGCTGCTGTTGATCTAGGTGGGCCCAACCTCCGTATCACCTCGGGGTAATGTTGGGTCAGGTGTAGGTTCGGACGACTGGGTTCTTCTGGCCAATTCTCTTGAAGACATTTACGGTAGCTTTGTAGTAGATCATCAAACTCGTCAAGATCCTTTTTTTTAATAACTGGAAGAGTGAGGAACTGTGTAACTTGGCATAAAAGTGTGGTCGATCGGAGGAGGGCAGAAGTGCGGATCCTCTCTTCCTGTGTTTCCAAGCCAGTGTTTGGTTTAGTCCAGAGTGGAATCAACGAGATGGTGTAGTATACTTTGTACAGGATCAACCATTCTGCAGCCTTCAGGGATCCGTGATTGGCTGCCCCCAAGTTCCGAGGCACACGGTCCATCCAAGAGGTCACTGTGGTGTGCATGATGGTTCTTCTAACCACATCAAGCTCTTCTGCAGTAAGCCGAATTCCTCTGTCCGATTTCTCCGCCTCCTGATCACGCATTTTTCCCTTTCTTTGTTGTCTCGCAGTCTTGTCACTTGCACAAGACTCTCCATCTGACCCAATTGATTCCTGTTCACTCATATCGTACAACATTTGCTTTCTAACCCGGAGCTTATATGAGTGAGTAGATGATCTGCTGCAATTGTCTGAGTTTGAAACATTGGAATCCGTGTTGGCAGATGAGTTACTACTTGATCCCGGTTCCTCTGCTGAACTCCTGGGAGTGGGGGACTTGTTGGTGGGCACACGTCTCCTTTTGTTTGGTTTTTCGGTGGGAGAAATGGGGAGATTAGAATCACGCTTTCTCTTGCCTTTTCCCATCGTGACATATTCCTTTTTCTTTGGACCATATGTGTCGGTGTAGGGAGGTTCTGTGTATGACTGATCATTCTGCCATGCTTCATCCTTTGTTTTCTTCTTTTCAAGTTCTTCACCAGCCGTTGGCAGAGCAAAATAACGCATGCTGTGGTCTTTCAGATCCCCAAGAGCTAATGCATGCATTAATTCAATTGAGGAATATTCGATTGGACGCCAGTATTTGAGATCATTGAGAACACTCCATCTTGCACCATGCTTCTTCACCAGTCCATCCCTGTCGGTGCGGCTGTCAGTGTTTAGCCATTCAGTTGCGTGGGCAAGATGCTCTTCATGGGTGCGGAGTGGAAACTTGGATTTGTCTGTTTCTTCAATGTTCTTCTGATCCAACAGG